ATGTAGTACCGTATATTTAGGTCACTAGATATTTGAATAACGACTGTGGCTGTGTACTGTGCTGGAGGCACAAAGATGGGTATGTCAGTGCCCCTTAATTATGTGAGCTTTTAGGGCACTGTTGGGATGCTTTAGTATCTGTATCTTGTTTGATCGCCTGAGGGTAGGGTGATGGCCAGACTGGTGAAATAGAAAAATGTATTTTCCTGCTCCTGAAACATTTGATTTTCAGTTAGTCATTGCCTTAAATCTGTGAGATCTTTATTTCCAAGAAATGCCTTTCTCTCATCCTGATAACCCCACTAATTGATATCTTGTGAAATTCTTTTTCTCAAAATGATGAATTAAAATAAAACATGGTGGGACCTCTGGGTGGCTCAGTTGGTTAAGCGTCTGACTCTTGATTTTGGCTCAGGTCATGATCTCAGGGTCATGAGACTGAACGTGGGGCCCCACGCTCAGCACAGAGTCTGCTTGGGGTTCTCTTTCCCTCTCTCCCTGTCCTTCCTCTCATTCACTTTCTCTCTTTCGAATAAGTGAATAAATAATCTTTTAAAGTAAATAAATAAATAAAGCATGCAGAAATGACTTAGTTATAGTTTTAAGATACTACAAGAGAAAAAGTCCATAAAATAAAGATTCTTTTCTCCCTGCTACACGATAACACCCTTAAAGATTCAATATTAGTCCACCGAAATCATGCCGAATTTATTAAGGCCAAATCTGACAAGTATTATCCTCAACACTGAAGAGCTATAAAAAGTCTCTAAGATATAGTTCATGCTTCAAAGAACTTCTAATACACTGGTCGTGATAGTAGTGTGCATCTGTGTGTGGAAGAAAAGTGTTAAGGATGTGACAACATCAGCAATGACAACATGAACATGAAGACCTAAACCAAGTGAGAGGAAGGGTTACTTCGGTTTGATTGTAATGATGAGAAAGGGTTATACTGATAAAGATAATGGAACTGTTACTACAAAACAATATTCTCGGGGCGCCTGGGTGGCTCAGTGGGTTAAGCCTCTGCCTTCGGCTCGGGTCATGATCTCAGGGTTCTGGGATCAAGCCCCATGTCCGGCTCCCTGCTCAGCGGGGAGCCTGCTTCCCCTTCTCTCTCTGCCTGCCTCTCTGCTTACTTGTGATCTCTGTCAAATAAATAAATAAATCTTAAAAAAAAAAATTAAAAAAAACCAATATTCTCAGTCATCAAAAGCTAAAAACAGGTGTTCCTGATTGGTGGTTGATTCTGCTCCAAATGGCAAATTAGTGACTGAGATCCTTCCATACTGTGGGTCTACCATCTTCAATGTATAGCTTCCGTGTTTGCTCAGCTTGTCCGCTGTAAGCTGGCAGAAGGAGAAAGAACATGGAGGATGGGAAGGTTTAATAGCTAGATCTGCAAAGGGTGTATGTCATTTCCACTCAAGTTCCATTGGTTGGAACTCCACCATGTGACCACAGCTAACTGGGAGGGAGGTTGGAAAGTATAGTCCAGCTGTGTGTCCAGGAGAAGAGATGGGTTTGTTGGTCACCCAGCAGCCTTTGCCACAGGCTTCATGGTGGCAGGGCATTTCAAATAGGTCTTGAGGCAACATGAAAGATTTTGACAGAGATTGGAGGTATTAATCTAGGTAAAATGAAAAGCATGAAGAATGACTCAGGAGTAGCCAACAACAGCAAAAATGAAAGAGCATATTTGGAAAACAAGAGATGGCCCAGTTATTAGGAGCTAATAGTGACTTCCATGAGAGAAACTATTGGAAAAGTAGGTTGAGGCTGTTTCCAATCTGAAACCACATTTTTAGAGGTTTACAAATCACACTGAGAAGGTTACATCCACCATGGTTTGTTTTATTTCTTTTCTTTCTTTCTTTCTTTCTTTCTTTCTTTCTTTCTTTCTTTCTTTCTTTCTCCTCTTTGTTTCTTTCTTTCTTTCTTTTTTTTTTTAAGATTTACTTATTTGAGACAGAGAGAGAGCACGAGGAGTGGGGAGGGGTGGAGGGAGAGGGAGAGAGAACCTTAAGCAGACTCCATGCTGGGTGTGGAGACTGACACAGGGCTCGTTCTCAGAACCCTGAGATCACAACCTGAGCCGAAACCAAGAGTCAGAGACTTAACCGACTGCGCCACTCAGGCGTCCTTGTTTTTGCTTTTTTAACTACCAGAACTCAACTCCCACTTGCGGGAAAATTGTGGTCGAGACTCATTTTCTTTCTTTTTCTTCATACTCCAGTCTTTCCTAGGAAGTGAGTCCTTAACGTTTGTCTCTAGCACATGGTGGCAGCGGTCAAGCGGAGTGAAGACCCCCAGCATAAGCAGCTTGGTTTTAAGCTTTCAGAAAATCCCCAGGGGGTCTGTTTCCAAAAACCAGTCTAGAGAATGGTATCTGCTGAATGCTGTGTTTGGGATGGATCCCAAGTTCACTAGAGGGAGGAGGAAGAGGAATTCCTTTCTGACTCTAGGGCACAATCAGCTCATGCTCACGATCCCAGAATTTAATTACCCATGTTGTTATCTTAGCTTGCATAGCTGCTACTGTGCCTTAGCGTTGTAGAAGTATCCGGTCCTTTAAAATCCAGCCTCAGTGCCCAGCCTGGTGACCTCCTGACAGTGATTCATTGGGAAGGGTGGGAGCAAAGGAAATCCTTTCCCCTCCCTTCAGATCTGCCAACTTGGCTCTGAACCAACAAGAATGTTTTAGCCAGAAAATATATGTCCCCAAACTCTCTACCCTTTTTCTTTTTTTTTTTTTTTTAAGATTTTATCCATTTGACAGAGAGAGAGAGATCACAAGTAGGCAGAGAGGCAGGCAGAGAGAGGAGGAAGCAGGCTCAGTGCTGAGCAGAGAGCCCGATGCGGGGCTCGATCCCAGGACCCTGAGATCATGACCTGAGCCGAAGGCAGAGGCTTAACCCACTGAGCCACCCAGCGCCCCTCTACCCTTTTTCTTACCCTGACATCTACTCCATGTTGCACTTTCTATTTGGTAATCATATGCATTCATATTTGCAAAATTAACTTGGACCTAGGCTTTACTGTGTGCCGACTCTGGGAATCTTCTCTGTGAATTACTCCTCCTTCTTTCTGCTTCTGACTATGAAAATTTACCTTGGATCTACAGTTGGGGGAGGATTTATTTCATTGTTCCTACCAAGATACAAGTGTAATTGTATATGTTTCTTAGCCCATTAAAACAACAACAGAACCTTTGATGTAATACCTGAGCATCTAAAAAGTACTTTTCCAAGCAAACGAGGGAGATTTATCACATAATTTTTCGAGGTCCTGAACACATCAGTTACACTTGTATGTTATGGAAAGGAAGGTGTTCCCTTTCCTCTGGCAAGAGTTTCTAGATTTTTTTTTTCTTTAGCTGCCCACAAAACAAACCTAAAGAAATCATTATTCTACATTATGTCCTTTGTCCTCTGTGCACCTTTCTTCCTCTTCTTCACTAAGATGCCCTCACTGGTTCCTCTCCCTGACTACCTCCTGCACTTATAGCCTCTGAGAAACTAAATCTTGCTGGTGGCAGGTATTTGGTGTTTTTGTTTTTTGGTTGCTTGCATGTGGGGAAGATGAAACTCTTTAGGTCGGTGGTACAGTACCAGATCATTCCCGAGCATTTTCTGAGATCTACATACCTCTTAAATCATTTGGGCAGACACCACGATATAATGGAATGGAACGTGAGCAGAAATTAAGCAGACTTGAGTCCAAATTCTAGCTTTGCCTCTTATCTCTGTGAAACCTTCAACAAAACACTTGACCTCTCTGATCCCCTAAACCTGCATTGTGATAGCACTGTTTAGTTTTAGCTGTTCTTGAAGTTTATCTACATGGAACAATACAGTATGTATTTTCTTGTTCCCAGTTTCTTTTACTTGATATGATGTTTGTGAGTTTCACCCAAGTTGTTGCATGTAGCAATAGTTTGTTCCACAAAATCTACAGTAGTGCGTTATATATCACAAGTCATCTCTCCATCCTACTCAGTGGACATTGGGTTTGTTCAGTTCTTGTGAATTGTGATTCTATGATCATTTTTGTAAAATCTTGTGTATATATTCTGTTGAGTAATGTGACATACTGGGTTACCCAGGTGGCACCCCTGAAAGAGATTTGCTTGCAAGAAGTTTATTCCTTTCTGCCATCAAGACCAAAGTTGACTTTAAGATCAGTACCTGTGGGGGAGCAAGGAAGGCAAATTGGACACCGAGAGATAAGTCGGACTACAGTGCAGTCACAACAAAGGCCTCAGCCAACCTATGGAGAGCTCTAGAGCTGAAATGGTCCCACAGAGTTGTGCCAAATAGGGGCAAGGAAACTAGACCTTTATCCATCCTCATTTACCAGTCATTGTACATCGACTGACCTGGGGAGGGAAGCATGATTTTGAATGTGACATCTGTCTTTGGCAGAGAGTGGGGGTCACACCTGTGAGCCATTAGCCATCAACATTTCTAGGAGCTGGTAGAATGAGTTTTCCAATCCTAAAAGTCCTAGCGTGTATGTGTGTGGGTTGGCAGTGAATCACAGCTGTATGCCACAAGTGTCCACTACATGTCTGATTTCTAAGAGTTGCCTTGCTGGTTCATAGGATATGGATATATTCATCTTTAGTAGATTCTGTCAAACAATATTCCAAAGTGTTTGTACCCAAACTCCCTCTTAATTTAGATTCTGAGATCCCCAAGTGGGATCTTACCATGCAGATAAAGGACCATTTTTAGAAGGAAAACATAAGTGTGAGAATATCCTACACATTAACTTAATATTTTCTATATTATGGGGAAAGCAAAACTGAGAACCCTTGGAATATGCTATTTATCATTTTCTACCTTATGGCTTAACATCCTGAAAAATGTCAACACAGTCTGGAATGTTCTGAAATCTAGTTATTGGAGTTAATAAATTCTAAAGACTTTCTTCTGTGCTAAAAAAAGAAAGGAGAAGATATATATGAATTGACTGTTGCCTTGAATTTAATTTTTCAGAGTGGCCAAATCAATGAAGGTCCCTGTATATGAGACCCCAGCGGGATGGAGATTCTTCTCCAATCTGATGGACTCGGGACGGTGCTCTCTGTGTGGAGAAGAGAGCTTTGGCACTGGTAGGTTTTGCTGGGGTGATGTCACTGGAGAGGGTGGCTAAGGCTGTAGCACTATGTGACCCCAGTTTGGAGACCTGTGAACCCATTGTGGACCATAGGAAGAGATAATTAGAGGAAAAAAATCAGAGAAGACTGGTGGGATATGTGTTATGATACACTCATTTCTTCCGTTTTTTTCTCTTTAAAAAAATCCATTTTTGGATCATATGGTAATTCTATTTTTAATTTTGTGACAGACCTCCACACTGTTTTCCACAGTGGCTGTACCAGTTTGCCTTCCCAGAAGCAGTGCATGAGGGTTCCCGTTTCTCCCCATTCTCACCAACACCTGTTGTTTCTCGTGTTCTTGATTTTAGCCATTCTGACAGGTGGGAGGTGACATCTCATTTTGGTTTTGATTTGCATTTCCCTGATAATTAGTGATGTTGAGTATCCATTCATGTGTCTGTTGGCCATCTGTATGTCTTCTTTGGAAAAAGTCTATTTGGGTCCTCTGCCCATTTTTAAATTAGATTGTTTGGGTTTTTTTGGTGTTGAGTTGCATAAGTACTTTATATGTTTTGGATATTAACCCCTTATCAGATACATTATTTGCAAAAGCTTTTTATTCTGATGTAATCTTAATAGCTTATGTTTGCTTTTTCTACCCTTGCATTAGGAGACATATCTAGAAAAATGTTGCAGTCAATGTCAGAGATATTATTGCCTCTTTTTATGGTTTCAGGTCTCACACTTAGAACTTTAATTCATTTGGAATTTATTTTTGTGTATGGTGGGTATTTACCCTAAGAAGACGAAAACACTAATTTGAAAAGAAAATGTACCTCTATGTTCATTGCAGCATTATTTACAGTAACCAAGTTACAGAAGGAACCTAATTATCCATCATTGGCAGATGAATGGATAAGGAAGGGGTGTGTGTGTGTGTGTGTGTGTGTGTGATGGAATATTACACAGCCATAAAAAGATGAAATTGTTCCATTTGCAACAACATGGATAGACCAAGAGAGCATTATGCCAAGTGAAATGTCAGACTGAGAAACCAATAGTATATGATTTCATTCATATGTGGAATCTAAAACTTCTTGGCCTTTTGGATAAGATCAAGTGTGGAATCTAAAACACAAAATAAATGAAAAAAAAAAACACCAAAAAGCAAAATTACCAAATGTCTACCCATAGATGAACTGATAAAGAAAATGTGAAATATATATACAGTGGAATATTATTCAGCCATAAAAATGAGATCTTGCCATTTGTGGCAACATGGATGGACCCAGAGTACTGTATGATTTCATTCATGTGCGGAATTTGAGAAACAAAACAAATGAATAACCAAAAAAAGAGACCAAAAAAACAAAACAGAAAACCAGACTCTCAAATACAGAGAACAAACTGGTGGTTGCCAGAGGGGAAGGGGAGTGGAGGATCCAGATTTCCAGTTATGGAATGAGTAAGTCATGGGAACGAAAGGCACAACATAGGAAATATAGTCAATGGTATTACAATAGTGTTGTATGGTGATAAATTTTATCTACACTTGTGAGCATAGTATAGTGTATGGAGAGGTTGAATCACTATGTTGTGTACCTGAAACTAATGTAACATTGTGTGTCAAACTGTACTCAAATAAAAAATATTATAAATTTTCCATTTCTTAACAAAATTTTCTATTATGGCAATTTAAAAAATTTTATGAGAGTAGAGAGACTATCACTGAATTCCCCTCTGTTTATCACCTACTTTCTATCATCATCAACTCATGGTTGATGATTGGTTGATGAGCCAATCATCATCTTGGTTTATCTCTACCTTCATCTACAAGGTGAGCTCTCCTCTCTGATTAGTGTGAAACAATCCCTAGTGTGAATCTTTAAGTATAAAAGCTGTTGAGAAAAAATATAAAATACCACAGTACCATTGTCACACCATTTTAGGTTAAAATTTCATTTCTTTATTTCAGTATTTTGAAGATGTTACTTCATTGTCTTCTGGCTTGCATACTTTCCAAGAAGAGTGCTTCAGTTCTTGTTTCTGTTCCTCTATGTTTAAACTCTCGCCAATCCTTACCTCTGGTTGCCCTCAATATTTTCTTTATATGTTTTGTTTTCAACAGGTTAACTACAATATATCTAGGTATTTTTTTAAATCTTTCTTGGGGTTTTGGGGATTCTTGGATCTGTTCCTTATTGTCTTTCATTAATTTTAGAAAATTCTCAGTCATTATTTTTTAAATATTTCTCCTTCCCCATTCTCTCTCTTCTGGGGTTCTGATGACACATGATTTGCGACCATATGTTGTCTCAGAGCTCTTTACACATACTGTTTGGTTTTGTTTACTTTTTTCTTTTGTTTTTCAGTTTAATTCTTTCTGTTGTCATTATCTTTAAGTCATTGATTCTTTCCTTCACTGTGTCCAATCTTCTGATGAGCCTAGTGAAGGAATTCTTCATCTCTGATACTGTTTTTTATTTCTAGCATTTTTCTTTGACTCTGTCTATAATTTTCATCTTGGTGAGAAAATTCCCCATCTGTTTAATACGTTGCTTATCTTTTCCACTAGATAATTTAACATATCCAACGTCATTATTCCAAACTACCTGTCTGTTATTTCTAATATCTGGTTTATCTGTGAATCTGGTTCTCTTGACTATTTTATCTCTCTGGATAAAGCAATGATTTAGTCTTTCTTGCTTTTTGTGTATCTCGTAATTTTTCACTGAGTGCTGGACAGTATGTGTATAAGAACACTAGAGATTCAGGTAAACAATGTTTATACACAGAAATGGGCATACCTCTTCTTTTATCTGGCCATTACTGGAAAGGGTAAATTAATCTAGTCAGGAGTTGAGCTGAGTTTAGATTTTTTTGTTTCTATTATAGTTTTTAGTGTTGCATAGAGTTCTAATTCTTCCAGAAGTGGATATTTTTACTGTGTGCCAAAGCAAGGATGCTCTTTTGGAGGAGATTTTTCAGTGTTTCTGTTTCATTTGCAGCTTTCCATAGTGCCCGCATGTCTATGATACAAGATAGATCTCTATTGTCAGGTGCTTGACCCTTCTCCAGTGACAGCAGACCTCTCCTTAGTATTGGAGTAATGTTACAGGCCCCAAAAGGTTTCCTACCCTTTCTCCAAGGGCAGAGGGTTGTTACTTCAATCCCTATTCCAGTAACAATGGATTTTTGCATGGGTTCTTAGGATGAGGAAATTTGCAACTCACATATCCAAAAATTTAAGCCTTTTGTTTCCTATGAAAGGAAGCTTTGGGGAACTGGAAGGGCTTCAAGATTGTCTCTCAGCAGCTGATCATTGCCCACATGCAAACACTTATCAGGACTCCCTCTCTCTCTCCAGTCTTTTCTGTGAACACCCAGTGAAGGTTTGTGGGAATTAACTTGCAAATATATCTCTGGTATCTGGGACTCCAAGCAATTTTAAACTAACATGATGGGCTATACTTGGCCTTTAAGAATTTTTGGAACTCTTAAATAACTTCTTATTTTTCACTTGTATGGAAGCATCCTCTTTTTCCTGTGATCTGCCAAAAGGAAGATGGTTTTGTGTCCTATTTCTCCTTGAAGGGGCTTGTCCTTTTGGATCTCACTTACTCTATGGCCTTATGGCCTCATATTTCTAAGGAGTTCAAGAAAAGTTATGATTTTGAAGGTTTCCTGGCCTTTTCTTATTATTGGGATAGGAGCAACATTCTTTTATAGAGTTCTACATCCTAAACAGAAATGTAGAAGTGGAATACCAAAAGTAATTTCTTAATAACTTCTCCTTTTCTCACTTCTTCCTTAATAGTTTTTTCTTTTTCCAATTGAGATCCAAAAGATATTACTTTATAACTATTTGATATCTATTAAGTATCTTTTAATCTGCGTATCCCTTTCAGGTGTTCTCTTTCTAATTTATTAATTGAAGAGTCTACGGCCATACCACCCTGAACGCGCCCGATCTCGTCATATTAATTGAAGAGACTGGGTCATATGTCCTATAGAGCTTTTAACAGCTTTGATTTTAATGTTGACATCCTCATTTTTCTAATTTCTTTGGTGCTTATATAAGGAGAGACTATTGATTAATACCTTTTTTTCTCTTCTTTGCAACCATCTTAGCACATTCTAATATTAATTACAGCATTTTCTTTTCTAAAAACTCTATAATCTCTTGTGATTTTTAAAAGGCATACAGTCATATAATATGTGACTAAAATATTTTTATGTTTCCTTTTTCTAATATTTTTACCCTGTATGTCATATTCTTATTGCATTAGGTACAATCTTCAGAATTACGTTAAATAATAATTGTGATAATTCATTATTTTAATGGAAATGGATTTAACATTTTACCTTCTGTTTTGGTGATTGCTTTTTAAAACTTTTAAAAAAGATTTTATTTATTCATTTGGTGGGGAAGGGCAAAGGAAAAGGGAGAGGGGATCTCAAGCAGACTCTGTGCTGAGTGTAGAGCCCTATGCATGGCTCAGTCTCACGACCCTGAGATCATGACCTGAGCGGAAATCAAGAGTCAGATGCTCAACCAACTGAGCCACCCAGGCACCCCAGTGATTACTTTTTAATTTTGGTAAAATCTCTATGTCCATATAGATATTTTTTCCTATTTTTTCCTATTTTTAGAAACAGCTGTTGGTTTTATCAGGTGTCTTTTCAGAATCTAGTGATATACAAGTACTTTTTTCTTTTTTATTATGATAATGATATAGCATGATTTGCTGATATCAAACCATCCTTGAATTCCTAAGAATATGTCCTCTTTGGTCATGCTTAAAAATATTGCAGTAAAAACACTGGAACTGGTTATAATGATAACATTTCAGGATATGTTGGGATTCCTGAAGAATTTTCATTCTGGGGAGTTTTCTTCTCTTACCCACTCTAGTGGCATTACCATTAATGGTCTGGGAGGGATGGTGTGCATTTTTGTTTCTTTGGGAAAGGAGAAACCGTATCAAGCTCTCTCAAGTGCTACTATTTAG